ACTATGAAAACAATCTAGTGTGCTTTCATTCACAAAATGATCTACCTCTGATGAAGTGTTACAATTTATTTTCATTCCTGAGCTCAGAGGAGAACATTTTCACTCAGATACATTGTATACTTTTCCCATTCTGGCCAGTGCAGAGTTCTTCTAATTGTTAACAGCTTTCTGACCACCCTATAGCAGAAATACTGCTACATGGTGGCATGGGAGCGCAAAATCACGTTTATATACATAATTTAGCATTTTCGGGTAGGGGGCACACGCTAGGCGTGCATGTCGCCCTACCCACGCCACTGTACGCGGCCATCAATCACCGGGTTCCGGCCGGTGATTACTTGCTGGCGCCTGGTGATTGCTGAGCATCTCCGATGGGGAGGAGAACTGTTTGCAAACAAAACAGTTCTCCTCCCTATCAGCTCGTGCACATGGCTTTGGGTGGCTGCCATCTAAAGCAGTGTGCTTACAGTGAAGCACACGGACACAGACACAAGTAAAACAGCACACAGTTAACCCTTTGATCGCCCCTCATGTTAACCCCTTCCTGCCCAGTGCCTTTAGTCAAAAAAGGGGTCTAAAAGAGGACAAACAGCGGCTTAATGAAAAACCAATACTTACTATTTATTGCAGCGTAATAAGCAGACATAAAATTACAATAAATAAGAAAAAAAGGAAAAAAGAAGACCTCACCACCACCAATAGGGACAGATAAAGGATGGAAATTACGTGGTCATCCGGGATGACGCCATGCGCTAGAGGGTCCCGACACTGCAGTGTAGATGAAGGCCTGTGAGGGGGATGAAGTTCATGCACTATGGGATGTAATATAGGAAAAAGAAGCCATGAGAAGACATCACGTATAGTAATACAGGACACAGACAAAGTCAATTGCACCGTATCCTGTATATCAAGCCTAATACTTTATTGGTCTTGATATACAGGATACGGTGCAATTGACTTTATGCCGGATGACCACGTCATTTCCATCCTTTATCTGTCTCTGTTGGTGGTGGTGAGATCTTTTTTTCTTTTTTTCTTATTTATGGTAATTTTATGTCTGCTTATTACACTGCAATAAATGGTTAGTATTGGTTTTTCATTAAGCCGCTGTTTGTCCTCTTTTAGACCCCTTTTTTGACCTGTGGGTTTCCTTTCCCTTGGTCCCCTCCTTGCTTCTTATGCTACATTAGGTTCAGAGCACACCACATAGTCATTTATATATGTGAGTCGGCTGTATTTATTATCAGGGATAATTACTATTATAACCCCCTTCTTGATCAGTATTTATTTATTTTTCAGCCAAGAGCATCCCGGTTTTTACCTTTATTATATGTGCCAGTGCCATTAGTACATTGTAAGTGCTTTTTTTTTAGCACTGATCACTGTATTAGTGTCACTGGGGATGTCAGTGACACCAAGTCAGTTCCCCCCAGTGTCAGAATGCCGGCCGCAGTCCCGCTATAAGTTGCTGATTGCCGCCATTACTAAAAAGGATGTAAATTTCATTTGGGTGCAGCATTGCAGGACCGTGCAATTGTCAGTTAAAATATTGCAGCGCTGTAACACAAAAAATGGCCTGGTCAGGAAGGGGGGTAAATCCTCTGGAGGGCAAGTAGTTAATTTGTACATTTCTAAAATACCTCCAGCAAACACCAGGTGATAAATAATGAATGTGTGTGTTTTTTAATGAATTGACGTTAATGATGTATCTCATTTTTTTTGCAGTATCTATCTCACTATTTTAACAAATGTGCGGTATTTACCTAGTGTTCGATATTTTACTTTGATAATTTGACTCTTTTATTATCTCATGCGATATTTCTGAAAAATTAGTCACGTGACCTTTATGTCGCATGAGGTAACCTTTAGTGAATTGACCCCTTAGACTGGAATCATGCATACTGATTGACTATATCATAAAATAGTGCCGCGCTTATATCTCTATAACCTCATATATGAATTAAAGCATCCAAACCATGTGATTATGCAACAACGGTGAATACACTGAATACAACTTAAAAGTCCATAATGTGTGCTTGATCCGTGCCTTTATAATTTGTTCCCAAACAGGTGCTCTTTATTGCTTATATCCACATATATTCTTTTTATAGGTGCTCCTCCACCAGAGACATACATATATACTCTCACCTCCTTTTATGACCCAAATTGCATAATTGCAAATACCGCCTTTCCCTTTTAACCCGGGTAGGTATACTGCATAGATGACTCCACTTTCCTCCTCACTGTGCTGCAAACAGTCCCATCTCCTCTTTATCCCACATATCCTCTGCATATGTAAACAGAAAGGCTTGCCATAGTGTAGTATATGAATATAGCGTGATTTATTAAAAAAACAGATTGCACTCACATTTAAAAGTGTCCTGCTGGAACACCACAGTAAAAAAAAACCTTTTTAGAATGTATTTTCAATGTGTTCAGGAATTTCCAAGACGTAAACGTCCTGTTTAGCAGCTTGACATCATTGGTCCACTCTACATGTTACATCACATCACGTGACTTCCTCAGTCCTTTTTAAAAAAATCACGCTATATATATATATATATATATATATATATATATATATATATATCTCCATAATGATATGTTTATGGGGTTGAGATTCTTTTACATGGGCCTATTCATGCCATGTTTTGTATCATGCTGCATACACTTATGTGTTTTTGAAAAAAAAAAATTTTTATAATATCTTATAATGTCACATAGTGGTTTTTTAAGGCCCCACAGCTTTATTTTATATTTATTTTATGTATATATTTTTTGTATGTTTTCATTCTTGATTGTATCTTTGTTGTACTACAGAACACCTTCATGTTATGATGTAGAGATTGGGAGGGATGATGAATTGTGGTCTAACAGAGAGGGCACTGCTTTGGACTTCAGTAAAGCATTCTCAGCTCACATCAGGTCCTTATTGTTGGGATTAACAGTTATTTTTTTCTTTACCTGTAGCCGGGGCGGACTGACAACTCATGGGGCCCCCGGCAATAGGGGATCATGGGGCCCTGTGTCCTTGCCCAAACTCAAAAAAGCCTATGAAAAAGGTACCAGGGGCATCTCATGGGGCCCCCTACTGACCCCCGGGTCTGCCCCTGCTTGTAGCCTATTTAAAGAGACAAAACATGGGAAAATGTATTGTAGAGATCTACTGTTTTTTGTTTATTTTGCCCAGCCAAACATTTCAAGACTTGCAAAAGAGAGTATATTTCTGTCTTTCACAAGCAAATCTTGAGGTATGTAAAAAAATTTAAAAAAAGCTAGTTCGCTCTAATAGATTGCCAGAAAGAAAAATTTATAAAACCCATATAAAAGAAAATTACCCCACAGAGGTGGAGACCTTGCCCACTGCAACCAATCATGTTTCACCTTTTATTGTTTTGGAAAACAAAAATAAAAATCTAAACTGGTCTCTTGATTTTTCATTAAATACTTCTCTTTGTTAAATAAACATTAGAAACAAAACAATTTTAAGTTCTTTTCTTTTTATTTGATGACCCATGAAAAGTGACACAAATTGTTACACGTATCATACATATTAAATAAACTCCTCGCTCAGCCTAGCTGTTCAAAGCCACCAAACATTACATTTGTCTCATTTTTTGTCCATATTTGTCTCTGCAATGATCCTGGTGTGCTGGGATATTTTACAAAATGTATATCCTCTACATGACTTTTATTGTGTTAAGGATGAAATTATTAAGATTTATATGCAGTATATTTATGACAATATACTCAGGCTTTCATGTAAAGTTCACCTGTGGTTTTGGAAACTGTATGCTGCAAATAACAAATGTAGAAAAAGCAAACACATTTGTCCCACCTCACATCATTGGTCAGTGTAGAAGCGCCATTCTCCACATTTATAGTCAGTGTACTGCCTACTTACATTGGGGATCAGTGGAGGAGTGGCCCCTTACATTGTGATTCACTGTAGAAGTATAGTCTCCCCTTACATCATTGGGCAGTGTGGAAGTGTAATGCCCCCTTATATTTATGCTCACTGTACTGCTCGTTTACATCAGTGGTCAGTGCAGATGTGCCCCCTTACATTGCCAGCCAGGGTAGTAATGTAGTGACCCCCTGCAGCGATGGTCAGTGCAGAGCTACCTTGCATCAATTTTTAGTGTAGTGCTCCCTTACATTGCTGCTCAGTATAGAGCTACCTTTTATTGATAATCAGTGTAGTGCTACCATACATTGATGGTCAGTGTAGAGCTACCTTGCACTGATAGTCAGTGCAGAGCTACCTTACATCAATGGTTAGTGTACTGCTCCCTTATACTGATAGTCCTTGCAGAATTACCTTGCATTAATGGTTAGTGTACTGCTCCCTTATACTGATAGTCCTTGCAGAATTACCTTGCATTAATGTTAGTGTAGTGCTCCCTTACATTGATGGTTAGTGTAGAGCTACCTTACATTGATGGTCAGTGTAGTGGTCAGTGCATAGTCTCCCCTTACATCATTGGGCAGTGTAGAAGTGTAATGCCCCCTTATATCTATGCTCAATGTACTGCTTGCTTACATCGGTGGTCAGTGGAGATGTGCCCCCTTACTTTGCCAGCCAGGGTAGTAGTGTAGTGACCCCCTGCATTGATGGTCAGTGCAGAGCTACCTTACATCAATGGTTAGTGTACAGCTTATACTGATAGTCATTTGCAGAGTCATTGCAGAATTACCTTGCATTAATGGTTAGTGTAGTGCTCCCTTACATTGATGGTCAGTATAGAGCTACCTTATATTGATAATCAGTGTAGTGCTACCATACATTGATGGTCAGTGTAGAGCTACCCAGGGGTGGACTGACAACTCATGGGGCCCCCGGGCAATAGGGGATCATGGGGCCCCTGTGTCCTTGCCCAAACTCAAAAAAGCCTATGAAAAAGGTACCAGGGGCATCTCATGGGGCCCCCTACTGGCCCCGAGCCCTCGGGCAGTGCCCGAGTTTCCAAATGGTCAGTCCGCCCCTGGAGCTACCTTACATTGATGGTCAGCTTAGTGCTCACTTACAGTGATGGTCAGTGTAGCACTCTCTTACATTGATGGTTAGCATAGTGCTCACTTACAGTGATGGTCAGTGTAGCACTCCCTTACAATGATGGTCAGTGTAGCGCTCCCTTACATTGATGTTGAGTGTACAGCTACCTTACATTGATGGTCAGTGTAGTGCTCACTTACAATGATGGTCAGTGTAGTGTTCCCTTACATCAGTGTAGTGCTCCCTTACACTGATGGTTATTGTAGAACTACTTTACATTGATGGTTAGTGCAGTGCTTTCGTACATTGATGGTGAGTGTAGAGCTATCTTACGTTGATGGTGAGTGTAGAGCTACCTTGCATTTATGGTCAGTGTAGAGATACCTTACATTGATGGTTAGTGTAGTGATTCTGTACATTGAAGGTTAGTATAGAGTTACCTTACAGGATGGTCAGTGTAGAGCTCCCTTACATTGATGGTGAGTGTAGTGCTCCTTTCACTGATGGCCATTGTAGAACTACCTTACATTAAAGGTTAATGCAGTGCTTTTGTACAGTGATGGTCAGTGTAGAGCTACCTTACATTAATGGTCAGTGTAGAGATACCTTATATTGATGGTTAGTGTAGTACTTCCATACATTGATGATCAGTATAGAGCTACCTTACATTGATAGTCAGTGTAGTGCTCACTTACAATGATGGTCAGTGTAGGGCTCACACACAGTGATGGTCAGTGTAGCACTCTCTTACATTGATTGTGAGTGTACAGCTACCTTACATTGATGGTCAGTATAGTGCTCACTTACAATAATGGTCAGTGTAGTGCTCCCTTATGTCAAAGGTCAGTGTAGTGCTCCCTTATGTCAATGGTCAATGTAGTGCTCCTTTACATTGATGGTCATTGTAGAACTACTTTACATTTAATAGTTAATGCAGTGCTTTCGTACATTGATGGTCAGTGTACGACTACCTTACATTGATGGCCAGTGTAGAGCTACCTTACGTTGATGGTCAGTGTAGAGCTACCTTACATTGATGGTCAGTGTAGAGCTACCTTACATTGATGGTCAGTGTAGAGCTACCTTACGTTGATGGTCAGTATAGAGCTACCTTACATTGATGGTCAGTGTAGAGCTACCTTACGTTGATGGTCAGTGTAGAGCTACCTTACATTGATGGTCAGTGTAGAGCTACCTTACATTGATGGTCAGTGTAGAGCTACCTTACGTTGATGGTCAGTATAGAGCTACCTTACATTGATGGTCAGTGTAGTGCTCACTCACAATGATGGTCAGTGTAGCGCTGACTTACAATGATTGTCAGTGTAGCACTGGCTTACAATGATGGACAGTGTAGCACTCCCTTACATTGATGGTGAGTGTACAGCTACCTTACATTGATGGTCAGTATAGTGCTCGCTTACAATAATGGTCAGTGTAGTGCTCCCTTACACTGATGGTAATTGTAGAACTACTTTACATTAATGGTTAGTGCAGTGCTTTTGTACATTGATGGTCAGTGTAGAGCTACCTTACGTTGATGGTCAGTGTAGAGCTACCTTACATTGATGGTTAGTGTAGTGCTTCCATACATTGATGGTCAGTATAGAGCTACCTTACATTGATGGATAGTGTAGTGCCTCCTTAAAATGTTGGTCAGTGCAGTGCTTCCTTACATTTGAAGCAAATGAGAGAAATACTTGCTTACATTTGGGGTCAGTGGGAGAATTACCATGTTGCACTGGTAGTCACTGGAAGAAGGACTGTAGGATAAGGCCCCGTTTCAATGTTAATCATCAGGAAAAATGCCCCATTTCATTAATGGTCAGTGTTCTGTGCCCTTACATTGGTTTTAAGTACAAAGAATGCCCCTTTAAGTTGGGGACAGTGGGAAAATTGCACCTTATGTTGGTGGCAAGTAGAAAGAATACCCCCTTTTAGACAGTTGAAAAGATGATTGCTGTCAGCTGTTGTTTACCTGAGAAATGAGAGATGTTTTTTTCTACTGGTCCCATACTGCTGGCTCTGCCAATTAATGTCAGTCCCAGAAGTATGCAGCCACCATCAGGCAGAAGATCAATTCACCATTACGTACGGCTCATGGAAAGCCTAGCAACCTCTGTAACAGAACCTTGATTGAGAATGGCTGCTAGAGGTCGTTCTATGTGGTAAAATGTGTGCTGCTCATAAAACAAATTACCAGAACCAGTGAATGAAAGGTATGAAAAGGGTGCTGAATGAACAGTTTCTTATTGCTCCTGGTGACCTATTAAATTGTTGTAAATTGTCAATTTCAGAGTCCATTGTATTAAATTAAAACAAGGTTTCTGACGGATTTTGCTGTGGGCAACAGGAACCTTTTAAGTTAGCATACTTTTCATAAATCAGCCCCAATCTTATGGTTAATGTATGAAAAATGTATTAACAAGAAATACTGTATTTTTCTTGACAATAACAACTTATCAGAGTCCTTATGTCATATTAATTTTGAACTGCTGAAATAACATTTAGGAACTGATTGGTTGCTATGGTCAGTAAGAACTTTGTTAGCATGTGTAGCATGGTGTATTTAAAAGCCAAAACTCTGTGCAGGCTAACAAAAGTTGAAAGAATATGTGTCATTGTTTCTGTCTCCTTAGAGGCTTTCCTCTGGCAAGAGACAATATAATACTTTTATTTGTGTGGAAAACTTTATTGGTTATTAATGAAAATGTGGGTTTAATAACTGAAAATGTGGCTGCGGTTTGCTTTTAGTTTTGATTATACAGTACGTCATAAAACATCTAATGGCAAATCACAAAGGGGTAAAACAAATACTATTTAAATAATTGTTATATTTAGCATATTTTAAAATGACATTAAAATAGCATTTTGAAAAAAACAAAAGGCTGCCGCACACTGGATAGATCACAGGAGAATGTTTATTGTAGAACTGTCCACAAACATGATAATGGCAGTCCTTGTCCTAGGGCTGCCCTTCTAATGCATTTCATCCAATCAGAGCTTAACTGTAGATCTCTACAGTTAAGCCCAAAGTGGGTGAAATGCACCAGTGGGGTGGTCCTAGAATGGGGAATGCGATTGACATGTCAGTACACAGTTTCTACAATGAATTTAAATTCTTGAGATCTATCCAGTGTGTGGCAGGATATAGTGAGATGGCCTCAGCCATCACACTGACCACACAACTGATTTGTTTCACATGGGCCTTATGAATCTGTGCATATGTGACAGCCATGTTTACCTGTAAGGGGATGCACAGATGTCCATGAGAGTCTCACTGCTGGCATTTGGGATGCAGCAGGTGCACAGACACAGCCACTGCTCTCAATGTGACATCCATGCAGGTACATGGCCCCAAAATGCGCTTGTGACCATGCACCCACACCCGCACAGATGCCCGTGCGAACTAGAGAGTGTGCACGGCTCAGCTTGCTTCCTGTACCTGGTGTTCCAGTGGCTCCGGTGAGCAGTCTAGCATTTTGGAAACAGTGTAAAAAAACATTCAGACAGAAAAATATAATACTGTTTAAACTAACAATACGTACTGTATGAGTAGAATAAGAGCTATGCATCAAACTAGCAAATCAATTCCCTAGCCATTAACATTTTGGTCTTCAGCCAACTTGAAATGTTAATACAGCCAGAAAATTCTGTTTGTTTACCTACAACCATGACAATAGGTTTATGAGGTCACCTTACACACTATTTGTTCTGCATATACAGTAATGTCCACTATTATTATATTCCTAGAGAGTATAGTGTGTGGTTATAGATGTATATGGCTGTCTAGTTGGCTGAATGACTATATATGAAAATGAGTGCAAATGTGACTGCAGAGTTCAATCCCAGTCCCGTGAAGACTGGGATTGAGCTCTGCAGTCACTTTTGCTACAGTTTTTTTCCTATTCTGGGTCACAGTCCTGCAAAATGTTCTTTTGGTCAGTTGACCATGTAGACTGTGCATATGCACATCAGACGAAAACTGTATATGCCATCATAACCATTGACACTGTATCTCTGCACACGGCAAATAAATTGGCAACTTCAGTTACAGAGGCACTAGCTAAGTAGGCACCAACAATTTGCCCTCTTTGACGCTCATTAAGCACTGACACGACTCTGTATTACTAGCAGTGCACACAGTAGATGATGAAAGTGAGGCTTCCCACCTGTTAGCTAGGTGTCTCATCTCACAGCGGAAGCAAAAGAATGTTACATTACTTCCATTTTCAACGCGAAACATGTCATCCCTTTCAAACCTGCAAATCATGTAGTGTTTCCATTTTTTTGTCTAACCCTTGTAGATGGCAGTTTTATTGGTATCTGCTGCCTTCATTAGATCTCATTTGCCTTAAGGAAAATTGGACATAGTACTGGAAAATCTCAACTAATAACAATACTTGGCCTTTAACTGCCCTCTGTATACTTCACTTCATTATTATCTATGTAGATACATACTGCAGATCAGGGCCCAAGGGTCTAGAGAGAGGGGCATGATCAACCATCAGTGGTGAAGATAGGGTGCGACAAAAAATTGTCGATCCCCCATTTAACCATGTAAAAAACAATTCTTCATGATAGATAGATGGATGAGTGGATAGATTCAGGATATATAGAGAGATAGATAGATAGATAGATAGATAGATAGATAGATAGATAGATAGATAGATACAAATGAGCTATAGCCTTTGTCATACTCTGAACTGTCCCTTCATTTCCAGGCCAAATTATGTGAAGAGAAAAAGGGGAGAAACATTATGTAGGTCCCTCAACAAGAGATATCACTGCTACAGGTTAGTCCACGCTGCAACACCTCGCTTGCTGCACACAAGGGAGAAGAGAAATCCCAGATGGCCATACTCCAAACTTAATCCTCTTTTTTAGCATATAAAAATCCAAGACAGTGCACCATACAGTGGGGAAAAAGGCAATGTTGACGCATTTCGCGGTTATTCATTAACCTATGACACCAGTTGCTGAGTACTTTTATACATCCTACTAGCAAATTCCACTAATCAGCTCAGAACTGAATTGCTCCCTGAGACAAGTG